ACACTAGGCGTGAGTGGCCGGGAACAGCTGGGGACATCGCAGTGGCTGAGGGCCACCCCGGCACCCTAGGGTCACTCTGGTGAGTGTACACACCCTCTAAGGCACAAAAAACAGAACCCAGAATTCATGCTCTTTAAAAGCGAGTTGTGGTTATAAATGGCATACTCTTTCTGGTGTATATATTATTTCCGAAAATTGAATAAAGATGTCACAAACACCGCCCCCCCCCTTATTTTTGGAGAAATTTTTGCCATAGGGTACACGTGCTCAGCAGAGAGACAGAGACAGAGAGAAAGTGAGAAATCATTCCCGTGGGAGATGGCCACGTGCGACCCCTTCTCCACTGTTCTCCTCAGGATTTTGAGCACGCTCGCACACGCGCCTAGCGTTCAAGCCGCCAGGTCTGGGACTTGAACTGCCGTCGGCCAAGTGGGAGTCCAGCACCTTAATCACTACCCCACCTGCTGGCCCCCAAACACCCCATTCTTAGTGGGTGTGACTATATCTCTCACAATCTCAAGAGCCTCAAGGAGCCTGAACAAGTGGCAGGCGTGTTCGGGAGGCCCTGCTGTCAGCCGGGCCGGGCGCGGCTGATGATCCACAGCTAGTTTTGAATGTGTCGAGGGTGGCCGGCGTAGCCCCTGGAGAACAGCTGCTCCTTCTGGGAAGGCTTCTCCCCGCCAGGTGGGGTCCTCCTACACTGCGTCCCACTGCCCCGCCCAGCGGGACGTGCCAGGCCACTCCTGGCTTTTCAAACTGCCTCCTTCTCTCCACACACCTGCATTACTCGGACGACTCCGTTTACTGTCCAGGGGGAAATGTAACCTGAAACACTGAAATTCCAAGAATAGGGGGCAGAGGGTGGCTCGATGACAACCCAACTGGACCCCCGTGGGGAAAGGTGCTGGCATGTGAGCCCAACCCTCCAGTGCTCCCCGAGTCCTCGGGGCAGGCAGACCCTTCCCCAGGACCTGGGCCGGCTGAGGCTGGCGTCACAGGGGGAGGAGCCTACTGGTATCTCTCTCTTTCAGAAGCCATGAATGAATAAACTTTTAAAAAGTCTAGTATACGTGAGGATATTTATTCATTGTTAGTGTTAAGCTTATCCAGAACTTATAGCTGGGCTTTTTCATTCACCTCATCCTTTTAATCTTCACATTTTCCTGTAATATGGGAATTATATACCCCACTTTATAGTTAAACAAACTGCTATTCAGACAAGTGGGGCAACTTGCCCTGAGGCACACAGCGACTAACTGGTGAGGGTTTCCATCCTGAAGCAAAGCTCTTACGGAGCCTGTGCACCCACGCTGTGGGTTAACCCACCATTTCCTGAGCAGAGGGCAGAGACGAGACCGAGCCGGGCTAGTGTAAGCAGGCCCAGGCCAGCCCAGGGCACGGTGGTTAAGGCAGCTGGATCCTACATGGCCAGCTTGGTGGTTCGAGTCCTGGCCCTGCAGCTTGAAAACCATACTGGGGGCATGTGCATGCGTGCCCAAAATCCGGAAAGGAGCAATGAGGAGAAGGCATTGCAGTGGGACAGTACCCATAGGGCGCTTTCTCACCTTCCCCCCCTCTCTCTGCCTCTTTCTGGCAAAAGCAGCATTTATAAGAAAGTAAACTAAATGAGCCCTGACTCAGGAGGGGGCAGTCAGCAAAGGGATGGGCTTTGGTGTAGTCAGACTATGTAGACCACCCTGGGAGGCCAGGACAACAGAGGGTGGTGTCCTGGCATCAGAAGGAGATGCCAAAGCCGGAGGCATCGTTGCCGGTCGTTCATCACTCAGATCTTTTTCTTTTCCTGATTAAGGGACTTGCTGCAATGGGACAGCCAAGGCCAGTGCGGGTAAACAATGACCAGGAAGCACATTCCTATCGCCCAAGCCAGACCACAGGGGCAATATCTGGGGATTACAGGCCTTAGCTCCTGCTCGGGGGAGTGGGGCTGCAACCCTCGGAGCAAGTAAATAGCGACGCGCTCCAGGGCAGGAACAAACCTCAGGAGGAGCAAGTGAGGGTGCCTGAGAGCAGGGCCCGAGGGGCTGCGCACCGGCAACCACAGGTGGGTGTCCTGAGTTGTTCAGGAATCCTACGTGCTCTGGGGACAGAAGCAGGCAGCCCTGTCAGGGGAAGTAACATTCCGCCGTCCGAGGGACACCTGTGCGGGGAGGGGCCGCCTGCCTGGGACAGGGACGAGGTTGCGCAGTGCTGTGTGTGCGCATGCGCCCTGCGTTTGACGTTTGACGTCATCTGGCAAACTCACTCCCTGGTTTCTGCGTTATTCTTTTCACCTCGCCCACTGAGGGTCCCCCTCCGAGCACGAAGGTAACTTCCATTCACTGGAAACCTACGCCGCGACGCACTCCTACATGGAGCTTGCCTGGCCAGCCTCTTCACAGTGGAGGCATCTCCCCGCTGGAAATGGCAAGGGACTTGCCCGAAAATGCACAGCTAAGCCCGTGACGCCCACTCTGGCCAGCTCTGGAGCTCCAGCACGCCGCTGTTTCAGGGCTCACCATCCCCGGGGTGGTTGCAGGCCGCACTGCCCGGATCGCAGACGCACAACGAAGGCATAAAGAGTACCCCAGCCTCCACCAGGAAGCCCCTCTCCCCGTCAGAGTTTTCAGCTGTTTGCAGGTACGCACCAGACCAGGAGAGCCTCAGGAAGCCCAGAGCCCATGCCAAACGTTCCTCATCTGCTCTAGGACCCCTCACCAACCTGGGGGTTAGGCAAACTGAAGGCGCTCCCGAGGGCCACCTGGCATCGCAGGTGCTCAGTAACGCCGCCTCCTGCCAGCGCTGTGCTGCACGTTCTGCGTCCTAGCTTAGAATTCTCTCGGAGCTGGCTTAGGGTCCAGCTTTCACCACGCCAGTGGGGAACAGGGAGAGCTTCGATTCACTAAGCACTTTCCTGCGGGCACGCCACTTTGTATTGGTAGTTTAGATACGTCGGTGCTGCTCATAATCCCGAACACCATAACCCAGAATGCTGAAATCCCGAAGATCAAAATCTTTCAAGTCTAAAATTGCAGAAGATTAAAATCCCAAATGTTGAGCCAAAACCACAACTTTCATTGAAAAAAAAAAAAGATATATTCTAGGGGTAGAAAGCGAATTCTGTGTTTCCAGCAAATATACGGTCTGTATAAATGAGAAGTACGGCACAGAAGACGGGGCCATCTGACAAATGCTCATCAGTATGTACTGAACCACTGGATAACTTGAGCCTGTCTCCTGGGCAAGCCCTGACCCTGACACCCACCTCCCGGAATCTCTGGCACTTCTGTTGGCCCTACCCCCAGGGGGTTCTTGTGAGCCCCAGAACTTTCCTGGGTCCCAGTCAGGGACAGTAAGCAGAAGTACGCAACCTCATGGGAAGTCACAGGTTGGTGGGGCACCAAGGACACCCAAAGATATCCCGGCATCTGTGGCCAACCTAACCCACACCGAGGGTAACTAGGGACACTCTCCAAGTTGTTCTCTCTGCTGTAGGTTTGGAATTTGGCCACCTGTAGGACTGCGGCCTGCCCAAGAAGTCATTAAACCACAGAGAGTGTATCTCTACAGCTGGGCACAGGTAAGCTACCCCTACAGCTGGGGACAGGTAAGCTATCCCTACAGCTGGGGACAGGTAAGCTATCCCTACAGCCGGGGACAGGTAAGCTATCCCTACAACCAGGGACAGATAAGCTATTCCCTACAACCAGGGACAGATAAGCTATTCCCTACAACCGGGGACAGGTAAACTAAAGCTACTTGATGAGATCTCAGACAAAAAAGGAAATATCTTATTGGAAATCAGGGAAAGTGTCAACCCTGTTACACTGACATAAAGAACTTGGCTGCATTGCGTCCATGCCCTTGAGCTTTGTGGAATGTTAAATTTAAGAGCGAAGAATATCTGACAAAAGAAATTTTAAAGCAGAATACAGAAGGAGCTGTGTGGTGATCTTTACCAACCTACAGAGAAATGAGAGGACCAAGGGATGACTTAAAAATAGAACTGATCATTAAAAGGAAGCAGAGCAGAAAAATGGAAACATCATATCCTGACCATGTAAAGAGTGAAAAGTTACGTTCAGGGGAGAATGGGGCCCGGATGGAAGGGAGCTGAATGCTCTTCACGAAGACAACGGGTCCACGTGTCCAATGCTAGGACCTGGTGAAGGGACCTTGGAGCACCTCGTGTAAACAATAAATTCATATTTACAAAACAGAAAAAAAAAAAACACCCTTCTTAAAGAGAAAATGATTCAGATAGCTTCCGCGACACTTCAGTTTGTGACAAGCTTTAAGGGTGGCCTCAGCGGGGGGGAAGAAATGCTGATCTCCCGCATTTATCTGGGCTGTGTACTTTGGTCCTGCTCTTTTATCTGGCCTGAGTGTGCCATGTGACTGCTGATTCCTATTTTAGTACAAAGCATTTCGATTACCTGTCCTCTCCTTATCTGAGATTTGGCTCCTATATATATAAATAAAATCTCCAGAAAAGCAGTGTTCAGTTCTCATTTTCAAAGCAGAAAACCAGTCCCTTAAAAATGAGTCCGCCCCCACAGGTGAGAAGGTCAATGCACTTTGAAATCCTGCAGAGAGAAGGTACAGCCCCACAGTCGGGCAGATGCCGACGGGCTAGCCCCCACACACCTTCCTCCCTTAGATGTAAAACCCGCCCATGCCACCTGCCCGTTATTTCCTGCACCAAATGCAAGGTGGGGAAGCCTGGCCTTCATGAAAAGCCAACTTCTCCAGAGGAGAGGAACCACTCGGCGAGAATATCATTTAACAGCAAAAGGAGCCCAACTTTGCCACCAAAAGTCATCCAAAGGAAAACGAAACTTCTGACTATAAAGAACTCTTTTTACAATGTGTGGGCAGTGCTGATTCAATTGCTAAACAGTTATAATTTTTTGTTGTTTTTAGGGTTTTTTCTTTTCAGTTTTGTTTTGCAAGAATGAAAGAGGAAGTATCTTCTAACCAACTCAGCAGATCAGGAAGCCTCGAGGTTCCCGCGGTTTACGGTCTCTGCTTCTGTTGCTGCCACTGTGCAGTCTGGCGTTTCCCTTTTCCTGCAGTTTTCAGCTCAGAAAAACTACACTACACAGACCTCCTCCAGCTCTTCCCAGACCCAGGCCCTGAGGCTGGCTCAGGGTCCCACATAGCAGGTCGGGGGCTGGGAGTCTGTACGTTAATTTGCTTCACACCTGAAGGACGTGTGTGAGAGAGGGGAGTGCGTGCATCGGAGCCAGGAAGGGACAGGGAGACCGACCGCCAGTTCCGGCCTCCGTTTCAGCACCCGTCAGCCGCAGCTCCTGCAGCCTGGGGGCTCTCGTGCACACTCAGATGAAGCTCCTCCAGGAAATCCTGCTGGCGGCCCCTCTGCTCTTTCTCCTGCCCCTTCACCCCTTGGCTTCTCCAGCCTACGACGAGCCACCAGGCACCAGGCCCTCCAACAGCCACACCTGTGTTGGTATGTACATACTTTTGCATTTTTAATGTGACTGTAACATTGGTCCAAAACTTGGCTTGCATAATTAATCACCTATTTAATGGCATCTGTACTTGTAAGATTCCAAGTAAGGTACCTCGCCAACAGGAAATCGTGTGAATTTAAGAATACGCATTCAAACATTCAAACTATATACACCTGGGTACTGTGTACAAGTGAGCTATGCAGCCGCTTGTTTGAATTAGTCGTGAATGTCCTCCGCCTCGTTCATGATTGGGTTCCCCTCCTGTGTAGGCAAGGAGACCAGTCTGGCAGCCTCCTCGTCTTCACGGCCTCAGACAGCTGACCCCAGCTGTGGTACCAGCCGCCTCCTCCCTCCCTTTCCCAACCCTTCCTGGTCTCGAAACCCCAAGCCAGTTACTTTACCCTCTCTGTGCCTCTGCGTCCTTACGGTGAAATGGTGCTGATGACACCCACTCACAGGTCTGCCGTGAGAGTGGGGATCGTGTACAGACCTTTGCATACTGGACGCAGTGAGGACGCACCATTTTTCCTTGGGGGTCTAGACTAGGCAGTCACCTGGAAACTGAACACGGAAGCCCTTTGACTAATGCTTTATTGAAGTGTTTTATTACCAAGTTCGTTATTTTTTATTGTATATATTTATTCATTGAGAAATTTTTGCTATAGGGTGCATGTGCTCGTGGGAGAGACAAAGACAGAAAAAGAGAGATCACCCCCTGTGGGCCGGGGCGGGGGGCAGGGGTGGCCACACCACAATCTCTTTTCCACCATTCTTCTCTCAGGACTCTGGGCACGCATGCATACATGCCCCGTGTGAGTTTTAAGGTGCCCAGTCTGAGACTCGAACTACAGTCGACCACGTGGAAGTCCAGAGTTCTGACCACCACAGTACCTGCTGGTCCTGTTTGGGTTGTTTTGTTTGCTTGTTTGTTCTTTAGTGGAACATAGAAAGTAGAGTAAGACCTTTGATATTCATACTGTCCCTGAGGCTTCCGTAACTGTGGTGGGTGTTCGGACGGGGCAAGGAGCCCCAGGGACTCAGAACTCTGAGTAGCAATTGTTCAATGAGCAGAACTTGAAATAGAATAATGATGTAAGAAGCCAGAAATAAAATAATAAAATTAGAAAGAAAAGCTTAGGGGTGAGTGCGGTGGCCATGTGCCTCAAAGGGAAACGTGGACATGGGTTCTGATACTCATGGGTTATTTCTGGAGACAGAGCAGAATACCACCCGGATCAGTCCTGCTTCCCAAAACCCAGACTGCAGGTCACTGTCCTTGTTCAGAAACATACCTCTAGTTCCCAAGTCTCCTTTACAATGAAAACATTGAGACCCACACTCAATGGCGATCTATTCTCTGGAGGCCTGGAAGGAGAGGTCTGTGGCCCCCTGAGAATCAGGCCTGGGAGGTCGTTCTCACACAGTGAGTGTGCTGGCCTAAATGATTATTTGCTGCCATTCTCTCAAAACAAACTCCGAAAGCCCATCAAATGGAAATACACCACAAACGACTCAGGCAAAATCGCTGCTGCTTCTGCAAATTAAATGTTTAGGGAAGTTGTCAAACCCAAGCTCCCAGGGCCCTCACCTCAGTAAAATGCACACGAGGTACCCGTTCTCATCCTTTCTCCATTCCCGATGAGGCCCTGGAGAGTCAGGAGGTGTTGAAAGGATTCCAGGATGGGGTTGTTCTGGCTACCTATGGTGCATAGCAAATTAAAAGTATTATCATTTTGTTATATCAGGATGTTATGGGCCAGGAATTTGACCAGCATCTGGCTGGCGAGTCTTCTGCCCCATATAGGGGTAACAGGTCACTGGAGATTGCTCGGGCGGTGCATTGATGGGTCTGGGGCTGTTGAGACAGTTTCAGCGCCTTGGGGTGGGGGTGGCTGGCTCAGCTGGCAACAGCCATGAGTCCCACACATGTGCTCTCGACGACAGCTCAGGGGTTCAGGGACAATTCATAAATACAGGCACTAGAAGCTGCCATAGTCCGGGGTCCAGGGCCGAGTCTGGAAACTGGCACCCTATCCTGCTGCCTCCTGCTATTGGTCAGAGCATCCACACCCCCCTCCACCCAGACTCGGGGTGGGGGAGCACAGACTGCTCCCTTACGGGGACCGTGGACTGTGGAGGAATCCTAACCACCTTGTCAGTCACGGGGCCCACAGGGCTGCCCACAGAAGCGCTCGGTGGCTCAGAGCTAGGGCGTCTGTGGCTGATGAGCATCCGGGCTGGCTTAGGGTCCTTGCCCAGCAGCTCCCAGCCTGGGCTGTGCTCGGCCTGGCCGTCATCGCAACAGGAGAGTGGGCCCAGGACTGCGTGCACCTGCGGTCCTGAGTGATGGCTGTGCGGAGCCAGGTGCTCGCTGCACAGGCTGGACTGGAACCCGTGGGACTGGGCTCTCGGGGACACAGCCCGACGTCTGCGTGCCGAGCAGTTTCCCGAGGAATGTCAGGAACAGGCCAGTGTGGGAGCGAGGGCGGCAGGAGGGAGGAGGAGCGACTATGGCCACAGAAGGCCTCGACTGACCAGCAGAGAGGTCGGGGCTAGCACGGCACTTCAGAGCTGCCTGGAGTGGGAAAACCCCACAGTCACACGGCACAGTTCCCAGAGGTGGGCTGCCCCGGGGAGGTGCTGTCACTTTGACGGAGACATCTTCCTCGGTGGAGACAATTCCTGGCATTGGGCTCTGGTGCTGGTATGATCCCTCAGGCCAACACCCCCAAAGCTGGGGCCAGGCTCCTGCGAAGGGGCCTGGGTGCCCTTACTCACATTGCTTAGGACACTGCGAACCCCGCACATCACAGCTGGTGGGAAGAGGAGGGACTGACGGGAGAGGTGGGGGAGGGTGGTCACTTGGATTTCTGCTAACTCTGTGTTGTCCCTGACAAAAAGCGGATTATATGCCTTCACACTCAGTCTACACCCATTCCTCAAATATCTCCAGAACTCATGTGGTCACTGGATGGCTGGCATATGGACGCCCTGCACTCGGAACCAGAGACACAAATGTGAATAATAATAATAATTTTTGAAATGACTGTCTGAGAAATTTGCTGTCCAGTTCAGGGGGAAAAAAATGAGAATCTGGAGCCTTGTGAAGATTATAGTCCCTTAAAATGAATGATGAGCTGGGCACTTAGTAGACTCACTAATAACTCACCTCTCCCGGCCCCTGTGAGCTGTAGTGCCAACAATGGAGCTGGCACAGAGCCGCAGAGCTCAGGGCAGAGGCAGGCAGCTTAGAAGCAGACAATGGCTGACCATGTTCCCAGTCATAGGGGAGGGTGGGTTGGGACTTGGATAAAAGGGAGAAGGATGAAAATGTCAGGATTTTAGCAATGTGTCTGCCCAAATACTGCCAGTCAAGGCAGGAAGATTCCATTTTTCCAGGACCCCACTGTAGACACCCTCTTGCTAGAAGAAAATCTTGTTGAGCAATGGTTGATTAGGCAGTAGAATTTCTGATCACCCTAATTAAGCAAGAAGGATTCCTCCTTACTAATTGTCAGATGCTTTTTAATCACCATCCCAATGTAGTCTTACCTTGATAAAAATTTACGCTTACCTTGACTTGTAAGATCATACTGAAATAAAATACTTCCAGCCATCTTTCCAACACAGGGAAGTGGTTCATTACTATATTCTCATGGAGTTCAGCAGAGCTGAGTTCCACTCGTTTTTCTGAAGAAGGCCATTTGGTAGTCACAGTTGTTTCTTACTCATAGTTTGTCTCGCTCCGGGTCTACAGCCATGATTGAAGCTCCGCCTCTTCTCCATGAGGACAGGGTCCCTTTAAGTTCTCTCTGAGTTGAATCTGAACTAACTGGCATGGTACTTAGGGAAAATATAAATAACTAAGTGTTTTTCAGCCATACGGGTTACTAATATAATTGGTAACACCAATTCTGAGCACTTAACTGTGTGATAAACTGTCTTCCCGGTACACATGTGTTGGCTCATTTAATGATCACACGACTGTATGGAGCAGGCATCACCAACATCCCTATTTGGCAAGTGGGGAAAAAAATTAAAAACTGAGAGAAATAGATAACTCATTCCAGGTTCAAGAGCTACTTAAAATTACGCTTATTCCTCACTGTCACTGTGATTATGAGGTTTCGAAGTGATTTGAAGTCAAGGGGATGCTATTTCTCCACCTTACTTTTAAAAATAACAGCTTTAATAAGATTATGGTTCACGTGCCATAGAGTGCACCCTCTTCGTGTGTAGCGTTCGGTGGTTTTCAGTACAGCCATGCCTTGCACCGCACCATCACGTGACTCCAGAACAGTAATCGCGCCGAACAGAAAAGCAGTGCTCGTCAGTCACTCCCCACTTCCTTCTGTCTACAGTCCCTGGGGTCATTCATCTATTTCCTGTCTCCACCCACATTTCATAAAAATGAAATGCCATGTGATCTTTTGCTATAGTCTTCTCGATTTAGGATAACGTGTTCAAGGCTTATCCATGTTGTAGCACACAGCAGCCTCATCTTGTCTTAAGCTGATACTATTCCATTGTATGGATGCATAACATTTTGTGTATCTTTTCATTATTGATAGATATTTGAGTTGTTTTGACTTCTTGGTGATTATGAATAATTCTACTGTAAATATTTGCGTACAAGTTTCTGTGTAGACATATGTTTTTATCATCTTGGGTGTATATACCTTTGGACTTTCTGGGACATTCAAGATCCATGTCCAACATTCTGAGGAAGTGCCAAGCTTTGCCAGAGCAGCCATTTTCCATTTCTTCACTCTAGCTCTGGCTGCTGGAACCCCAAGAGTCCTGTCTCCTGGCTCCTAGGTGCTGTTCCCAACTCTATCACTGCAGGCCGGCTAGTTTAATTGCTCTCGGTCCCTCAGCTGGCTGTTGGCTTCCATGGTCCTGGGTCTGTGTAACAGTCGAACCCACAGAGATGGGCTCTCTTTCTGGTTGCAGTTCTCTATTTCCCATCAGTAAGGATCTGGGTCAAGTCTTTAAA